AGGCAGGGAAGCACCAGCAAAGAATTAACTCTGGAGTTAATTCTTTTTCCTTGGTCCCGTGGTTCCTCTTCTCCTGGTGAATGAAACTCTTTTCCATAGTAAGTCTTATGGATGTTTCCTTTAGCAAAGGAGAAGAGAGGCAGGAGGCAGGGAAACACCAGCAAAGAATTAACTCTGGAGTTAATTCTTTTCCTTGGTCCCCTGGTTCCTCTTCTCCTGGTGAATGAAACTCTTTTCCATAGTGGGTCTTATGGATGTTTCCTTTAGCAAAGGAGAAGAGAGGCAGGAGGCAGGGAAGCACCAGCAAAGAAATAACTCTGGAGTTAATTCGTTTCCTTGGCCCCCTGGTTCCTCTTCTCCTGGTGAATGAAGAGGCAGGAGGCAGGGAAGCACCAGCAAAGAATTAACTCTGGAGTTAATTCTTTTCCTTGATCCCCTGGTTCCTCTTCTCCTGGTGAATGAAACTCTTTTCCATAGTAGGTCTTATGGATGTGTCCTTTAGCAAAGGAGAAGAGAGGCAGGAGGCAGGGAAGCACCAGCAAAGAATTAACTCTGGAGTTAATTATTTTTCCTTGGTCCCCTGGTTCCTCTTCTCCTGGTGAATGAAACTCTTTTCCATAGTGGGTCTTATGGATTTTTCCTTTAGCAAAGGAGAAGAGAGGCAGGAGGCAGGGAAGCACCAGCAAAGAAATAACTCTGGAGTCAATTCTTTTCCTTGGCCCCCTGGTTCCTCTTCTCCTGGTGAATGAAGAGGCAGGAGGCAGGGAAGCACAAGCAAAGAATTAAGTCTGGAGTTAATTCTTTTCCTTGATCCCCTGGTTCCTCTTCTCCTGGTGAATGAAACTCTTTTCCATAGTGGGTCTTATGGATGTGTCCTTTAGCAAAGGAGAAGAGAGGCAGGAGGCAGGGGAGCACCAGCAAAGAGTTAACTCTGGATTTAGTTCTTTTCCTTGGTCTCCTTGCTCCTCTTCTCCAGGTGAATGAAACTCTTTTCCATAGTGGGTCTTAGCAAAGGAGAAGAGAGGCAGGAGTTAGGGAAGTCCCCATGGTAGGTGCTGTCTTCCCGGTTTCCGGGCAGATACTACCAATGCCATGCTTTCTCAAGCCAAAACTGCCATCCAAATAGGTGCGAAAAAGAGTTAACTCTGGATTATTTCTTTTCGAGGAGCCCTGAAAAGGAATTAACTATGGATTTAATTCTTTTAGATAGACAGAAATCGACTGATATATGTGGAGCCAGCAGGACCCTGTGGGAAAAGAATTAAATCCAGAGTTAATTCTTTTACATGGCAGCATTCAAGGAGGAATTAACTCCTAAGTCAATGCTTCTGATGGAACCCTTGATGAGTGGCAAATCCTGAAGAATTAACTCCAGAGTTAAAACTAATTAACTCTTGTATCTACTCTTTTTCTGGCCTCCACCTACTAGCGATGGCCTCCAACCTACTAGTGATGGCCTCCACCTACTAGCGATCCCAAAGAATGTTCCTTCTCTGTTCAATTTTGCTCTTGTTTCATCTTCTGATTCGTCCTTCTTTACGCCTTCAAAAAGCCATTCGATTCTTTAGACCTTTCTTTCCTCCTGTCTGCACAACCAACTCTAGTATGCCTTCCTTCAACAGAGATATGATGCACTTTGTACTTGTATTTAGTCATATACAATGGCTTTTCGGGGCTCAACCACCTCTGTATGAGCTGCGGGATTCCAAGAACAGCCCAACAAGCACACTCAGATCTTTCGAGACGCAGGGGGTCGGTGTTCGTCCCGCCAAGATCCGGCCTTCCGGGCTCTCGGCATGTCCCTTGCCCCTACCGAAAGCAAAGGACGCTACTAGTAACAAAAGGGCATCGCTACTAGGAGCAAGGACGCTACTAGTGGCTCCTGGCCTTACTACTAGGAACAAGAAGCTAGTAGTAACAAGGGCATCGCTACCAGCGCTCAGAGCATGGGAAGGTCTCAGCCCCGAACCCGGCCTCTGACAGCTTCCTTCGTGCCAGGCTGAGGCGGCCCTGGATGGTGGATAGCGTTTGGGATATCTGTAGTATAGATCTACATGGTGTCCAAAGCACAGCGTCTGTCTTTGAAACATTGCCAAACATGTTTATGGTTCCAATTGGCCTCTTAAAAAGAAGGTTGTTTTATAAAGCCCATTTGAAGCCCTGTCATATAATGTGCTTACGCGTTGTCTTACGCTTAGCTTACGCGACCACAGGTTTTCTTTGAGCCACCTTAATAAAACAAAAACTCTGATGCAACCTTACACTAGCACAGATTTCATGTTTGTCAGACATCCCCCACCGTAAATGCTGACGCGAATGGTACTTAAAAACCCAAAGAAATGATCAACGGGTACATTACGCACACCGCAGGTTTGCTTACGCAGAGCCTCTATATGACATAGACTCTTCTTGCCCTGTCAAGGGAGTTTTGCTGAATGCTCAATTCTGGAAACAACTGACATTACTTTCCAAAACAGCTGCTCATACAGCTCTCTTCATTGCAGTGGGGCTTGTACCGATTTGGAGCCAAGCACTACACATGTGCCCAAATTCTTCCAAATCACTCCCTTCAATCCTGCTGGTCATCTTTGGGGGTCCAACCCACTCCCCTCAAAGTTTCTGGCTAAAGGTCTGTACAATCAAGTGGAGCAATGCTGTTGTGAAATGAAAGACAATGTTGTGAAATCGATAGCAATGTTGTGAATCGTTGATGATAGTAATGTGAAACAAACTGCAAGGCTGTGCACCCTGTGTTGATGCCTGCCCCACCCATTAAAACCTCTACAGAACCTTTTTAAACATTATCTTCAAGAGGTCCTCTTCCATCCGTCGCCATCCCCTTCCTCCCTCCCTCCCCATCCTCCCCTTCCTCCCCAGCCTCATCCGGGTCCACCAGCGTGAGCCTCGCCATCGGATATGCCGCCTGCAGCGCCGCCGCGGAGCGTCCTGTGCCGCAGCCCAGGTCGCAGACGCGGTGTGACGCACCCAGCGGCGGCAGCGCAAAGATGAACTCCCCTGACGCGGTGGGGGGTGGAATCAGAATGTAGTAGCTAGAAGCTACAAGTAACAAAAGGGCATCGCTACTAGGAGCAAGAAGCTACTAGTAGCTCCTGGCATTTCTACTAGGAGCAAAAAGCTACTAGTAACTAGTAACAAAGGGCATCGCTACTAGGAGCAAGAAGCTACTAGTAGCTCCTGGCATTTCTACTAGGAGCAAGAAGCTACTAGTAACTAGTAACAAAAGGGCAGGCTCAGGTGAGTGTACACCGCTATATGCCTGACGCTACAGGCCTTCGTGTGAAGTGGAAGTTAGAATATTTGGATGAAGAAGGGCGTGGGGGCCAAGAGGGCACCCGCCCTCTTCTGGAGCCAGTGACTATGAAGGAAGTCATTTGCAAGGTGGATCTTATGAAGGATGGAGCTCTCGCGGCCAGTTCGGCGCGGAAGTTAGACAAAGGAGGGTATTCATTGAAGGAGGCGGGCGTGCGTGTTCACCTCGTTAAGACTGAGCCGGTTGAGTATCTTCCCCTTGTTGAGGAAGTGCTGGCTCTCCTATCTGTTGAGTCCCTCCCCTCTTGGCCGTCTGTGTGGCAATCGGCTGAGGGGCGAATCGTGTGGTCCTGGTTGGAAGCTCATCCACCTTCGCGCATTGATTTTTGGGAACTTTTTGCTGGGCAAGCAGGGCTCACCCTCGCTGCGAGGCAGAGAAGGTTGAGCGTCGCGCCACCGTTGGATCGACTCTATCCTGCCTTCGGTAAGGCTTGGGATCTGAGCTCGCCCGTGGATCAGGAGCTGTTTTGGTGTCTGTACATGGTGCTGCAGCCGGCGGCGCTTCACGCTGGACTGCCATGTGAGCATTGCAGCGTGATGGGCCAGAGGAAGCCGGACAGCAATGACCGGTCCGTGAGGGAGTTGGTCATGCGAGTTCTCGCTGAGCAGGAGAAGGGAGGAAGAAAAGGGACGGTTGAGAGTCCAACGGGTAGCCAGCTATGGAGCGAAGACGATTGGGTTCGCAGCTTTGGTCAGCTCGCTAGCCCGAAGCCTCCCTGGCAATATGCATCAACAGATGGTTGCCAATATGGGATGGAATCCAAGGGCCTGACCGATGGGAGCTTCGGTCAGCCTGTGAAGAAGGGACAAATCTGGCTGAGTAACTTTTGTCTGAGTGAGTTTTCCTTGAGGTGCGGTCGTCCTGACGCCCTCGGGCAAATAGAACATTCTCATCGGCACATCAAAGGCTCAGTCAAGATCGAGGTCTCCGGAGGAACCAAATGGATGGGCTGTGGCATCTTGAGCGGGGTTTATGAACCTGCGTGCTGCCATGCTTACATGAGTTGCTTAAAAAGAGCGCTCCGTAGGTCTCCAGCGCGTTCAATATGCCAGAGGGTTCCTCCGCTGGAAGCTGTGTCTTCGCGGAATGCTGTCTATACTGCTGTGAGTGAACGGCAAGGAGTTGTCACATCTGATGAGCTCAGCGCAGCAGAAAGAGAGCAATTGGACAAGGAAGTAGCTGCCTTGTCCAAGCAGATGGACGAGTTATGGAAAACTCGCGCTGATCAAAAGGACTGGGACACGGTGAAGGCGGATCTCTCGGTTTATCAGTATTCTGGCCAGAAGGTCACTGAAGACCCTCGGCGGACTGTGGTATACCGCCAGGAAGTGATCAAGGAGCTGGGATTTGGCGATGACTGGAAAGAAAAGAAGCCGTACTTGTCTGCGGCCGATGTGGAGGCCTGCCGTGAAGTGATCAGCAGGAAAGCGGGCGGATTCTGGTTAGAAGGGTCGCCGCGGACGACTGTCCGCAACGTGCTTCACGACTGTGTGCCGTCCGGTCCACCTGTGAATTCGCAGCCTCACAACTTGAAGGGTGAAGCTGCGTCCTGGGTCGACGAAAAGCTTGAAGAGGAGGTTCGTCGCGGCCAGCTAGTGCGCGGGACTTCGGCGTGGGGATATAGCCACCATTTCCGAATCGGGAGGCGCCAGCGCATAAGCGCCATCGGAAGAGAAGATTGGTAGTTGACTACCGAAGAGTCAATTCTCGGGTCGTTCGGTCCACGTACTACTGCCGAAAGGCCACCGATGTTCTTGCCACGGCCGCGGGTAGCATCTGGTTTTCCTTCGTGGACGCCGTGACCGGCTTTAACCAGATCAAGAATACCCGCCGGGCTATGGAAGTGCTTGCAATCGTGGCCAGGAGCGGGAAGTTCCTCCCTGTCTGCTTGACCTTTGGCCCAGTCAATGGGCCTGATGACTTTTGCTATGTTGTGGATCGGGCGTACGCCCCTGGTCGAGGACGCAAAATGAAGTACACCAGGGAGTGGGTAGCCTGTGCTGACGACCTGACGGTCAGGACAGGAAGAGTGGTTGATGGTCGGTACCTGACAGACGATCAGGCCGAAGAAGAGGTCCGCAGAGCGTGCCAAAATGCGCCGGTGCAAGCGGTGCAGCCAGCGGGGTCGGCGCTGGAAGCGCTGGGGGTCAAGAGTTCAACAGGCCCGTCGGTTGCGGGTCCCCCCACCAAGCACGACGAGGTGACTTCGGACCACAACCACCCTACCCGTCCGTTCTTTGCCCTGTGTTTCAGCGTCTTCGCGTCTTCGTCGTTCGGTTCACGTTGTTCGTTTCCCCATGTTCATGTTTCGCCGCAGCCGTTTCTGTTGCTCAGAGCTACCGCGGTCGGGCGTGGGACGCGGGCCGTGGCCGCGGACGGAAGTCCAGCGGGCCGAATGGGGCGCGGAAGGGGCAGGGGTCAGAAGCACTGGAAGAGGAATTACTGGGAGGACGCAGGAGAAATGGGACGGGCCATGACAAAGGCTTACCGTCACGGTGGCTATGACCATGCACCGAGGGTGTCTGGACCCAGAAGGCTGGATCCGGCTGGACGCGTCCGCCGAGCTCTTCCAAGTGCCGGTCGCTCACATGCAGAAGGCGATCGAGTTAGATGGGAAAGGCGCAAAGAAGCGCTTTGAGGTTCGGAACGACTGGATCCGGGCGGTGCAAGGGCACTCTTCGGATAGTGGGATCAGCGATCCGAGCCAAGTGTACTATGAGGTGACAAGCCAATCCCTCGCTGAACGAGGCTTGGGAGGTGATTCACCCCTCTGGCACGGGACTGTTCTGGAGCGGTGCGATGGCATTGTCCGCTTCGGGATGTTGCCAGGTGGAGGGGATGCTAGCAACCGCTTGACGGTGTACTGGGTCGCCGGAAGCAAACCGAGTCCTGGCGAAGGAAGGACCGGCTTCCGTGCGGACTCGACCGCGGTTGTGGAGACCTCTGTGCGCAACTTGTGGGCGCATGGGGTCAAGATGTACCATGGAGCGGACGGGGAGTACGGCGCGTCAGCTGTGCTCTTGTCGTTGGTAGCTCCACCGGAGAGCCTGACGCGCATCTTGGCCATAGGGGAAGAGTCTCAGGCCTATGACCAGGTCTTGGCCGAGATCACTGACTCGGGGTTCGAGCTGGTTCCTGCTAAGGATGCGCCAGAAGCTCGCGACGTTCTGTCTGGAGTGATCGAGCTTCCTGATGGAGACACGGAAGCTACGACTACGGATGACGACGAGCCAGCGGACCCTAAGGGCGCGGCTTCTTCTTCTTGGAGAGGAGCGGCTGGTAGCCGTCCACTGAGCCGGAGTGCCGCAGAGCTCAGGACCGTCGCAGAACCGGTGCAGCCGGTAAGGGCGGAACCTTTGACTGAGCCGCCGGAGGGCAGTGAAGTCAAGGTTGGGGAGGTCGCGGGCAGAGAGGCCGCGCCTCCTGAAGGGCATAAGCGGGAGGTCGCGGGCCGCAAGGCCGCGCCTCCTGTTGTCTCTCGACCTCGTGCTAGAGTGCCTCGGGGTTATGAGGGGGGGAACCCCCCAACTTTTGGTGGACCCATATTCCTCGCTCTCTTTGGAGGACCGAAGAAGGAATATGCCTCTTATGCAAGTCCAGGGCTGGGAAAATTGGGACGTCCTGGATCACGGATGAGCATCTAGGAAGCATCCAACACGTGAACAAGATGTTCGAGCTTGCGGAACGGTACGATAGGGAACAAGCTGCCGCTTCGGCTTCGTCCAGCTTGCCCTCGAGAGATGCCGGACCGCTTCCAACTCCTGCCAAGGTAGAAGAAGCTAAGGAAGCTGAACCTACGGCCGCTGCTAGCCTGCCCTCCGTGGTGCCTTCGAGTGGAGAAAAAGGTCCTGTGCTGGATCCGCCCAAAGCAGAGGAACCGGAAGCTACAGCTGTGGCAGGCCCCGCGTCGTGGGAAGCCGAGGGATCGGCGCCGACGTCGGCTGAGACTGAGGGTCCGGAAGGCGAAGGCGAAGAGCCAGAAGCAGGAGGGGTGCCGCCATCATCGGACGCATCATTAGGAGCGGAGCTCAAAGATCGGACTCTAGAGACAGAGCCAGGAGCAGCTCCCTCAGCAGCCGGTGAGCGCGAGGGAAAGGAGCAAACCTTAGAGCCAACTAAGGATGACGGGGAAGAATTCGTGGAGGTAGAAGAAGGAGAAACATCCCCTGATCTAGAAGCCAAGGCGGCTAGGAGAAAGAGGAGCAAAAAGGAAGGTCATTCTGAGAAAGGCCATTCGGGACGGCGCAGACACCGAAGGCCGTCTAAGAGACTCAAGATCCTGAGGGATGCTAACCTGAAGGAGAAGAGATACCGGTCTCATTCAGAAGAGGAGGCGACCGGAGGGGATCATGAGCAGAGGGGCGACTCTGGAAGGAGTCGGTCGCGGTCCAGGGGTGTGAGTTCGAGATCACCGCCTCGGAGACCGAGGAGTCCGGACTTGCCAACTCGCAGGCCGAAAAGTCCGGATGGAACCCCGCCAGAACCCTCTAGCAGAGAACGGTTCTCCTTGAGGCCAGTTCGCTTCGAATGGGGGTCTTGGGTCTGCCACGTATGTGGCGCAGTGAATGCGCCAGGAGATGAATACTTCTTTGTGTGCGAAGACAGCTTCTGGAATTCTACGGAATGGGCCAACGAACTCTACCGCGAGATTAGAAGGCGAGAACGGGCTGCGAAAAAGGCTGAGTTCTCGACTCTTCTTGCCAAGGCCCTTGCCGCTGGTAGGTGGGAATGTGACAGATGCGGCGGAGAGAACATGCTCTCGCGCGTCAAATGTTACCAGTGCTCTACCCTACGCAGTCGACATCGTGGGGATGATGAGAGCTCTGATTCCGAAAGGGAGCGTCTGGTCGAACGCACTCTCAGGCAGATGCCGGAAGTCAAAAGGAGGAAGAGAGCCGGCCGGAAACACAAGAAGAAGGTATGCAGGTGTGGCCGCGTTCACCACCGATCGCCTCGCGGGCACAGAGTGCCGCGGACGGTCAAGGGCCTCTCTCTTGTGAAAGCGCTTGAGATTGGTATGAGGAAAAGGTTGGTGAGCAAGCGCTGGAAGAAACACTTTGCTCCCAGGAAGGTGCTGAATAAGTTGCAGCACGCCTTGAATGGCAATGGACCGTCTGTTGACCTAGCGGTCAAGGTCCTGGTCGGCGCAAGTTTGATTCCGCTCGCCTGGAGGACGGAGCAGGAAGTTGAGGAGGTGCTTGACAGCATCAGCAGCCTCAGTTCCAGGGTGCTCTTCGAGATCGAAGAGACGACAGCTCAGACCATCCAGATCACCGGCCTGATCTGTAAGTCGGCGGTCTTGGGGCTTGGGATCATGGGGCTATGGTTCCTTGGCCGAACTGTCGCCAATAGGCTTGTGCGAGCTTATCATGGAAACACCCTGCCTGCAAAACTTTTGGAGTACAAACCCGATGGGCAGACAAGCTGGGAGGTGTCCGGATCGAAAGGAAAGCACGTCGTGTGGATGCGGTTAACCACGCCGCGCCAATCGGCTTGTGCCTGTCGAGGGTTCATTGATGCAGGGACGTGCGGGCATATTGATGCCGCCGTCGAACAAGCTAGGATGATGGGATTGGGCCCAAGTCGGGCCGTCCAGTTTGAAGAAGGATCTGTGGTGAAAAATAAAGGTGCAGCAGCTCTCAAGAGTATGGGTGTCAGTGGTCGCTCCACGGAGGCTCTTTGCTTCACGGGGGTAGTGAGCAAGGCTCAGCGTTTGTTCAGCGCTGATGAGTCCAAGGAGACGACTGCAGGGTGCTTCAAGGGGCTGACGCACGGAAGAGTCAATGAAGACTTGCAACACGCGGTCCGTGAGAAGGACGCGGTTGCCGCGGTGCGCGCACCTCGGCCCAAGGGCGGCGCGTCGTCAGCAGAGATCACGGTCGAATACTTAAAGGACCGTGCATCACAAGAAGCGGTGATCGACTTGCTAGAGCGACACCCTGACTCTGCTGTTTTTCTGGCTGCCTACAGTCTGGACCAGCCAGATTTGACCAAAGCATTCGCCAAGCATAAAGGGAACGTCGAATTGCTTGCCGATGCGGGTCAGACCCACCGGTGCCCAGCGGCCGGTCGTGCGCGGGCTGAAGTGAGAGCCGGACCTAGCTAGTGTAGCTGCCGGCTGAGGGGCGAGTGTGAATGATACTGTCCCTAACAGCCCTTGTGTCTTTTTGCACAGTTGTTTCACAACACTTGTTTTGGCTCAAGCGGGCAAAGCGCCCATTTGACTGTTGTGCACGGGAGAAAGCACGCAGTAGCTTCCGTGGCCGTTTCACCCGACCTTGAGCTCACGAGCAAGAAACAGCTGGGCCGCTGTGTTTGGGTAGGTTCCCAAGACCAGTTCGGTTCTGCTCACAAAAAGGGCATCGCTACTAGGAGCAAGAAGCTACTAGTAGCTCCTGGCATTACTACTAGGAGCAAGAAACTACTAGTAACTAGTAACAAAGGGCATCGCTACTAGGAGCAAGAAGCTACTAGTAGCTCCTGGCATTTCTACTAGGAGCAAGAAGCTACTAGTAACTAGT